AGGTGCCGGATCTCAAGTCCTCTTCATCGCGTAAGCGTTGCTCTTCCTTTGCTGCCCTCCTGTCCGCCATCTTCTTCGCAAACCATCCGAAACCGAGGCCACCTAGCAGTCCTTTCGCAAAACCACCACCCGATTTCTCAGGCTGTGGTCGTCGAGAAGGACTGACATAGGAAGAATAGTCTGATTCTTCGAAGAAGCTGCGACCTGAATTTGGCGGATATCGTTTGCCTCGAGGGGTCACAGATGGAGGAGGGGAGCTCAGAGCGGTCTCGGTATAACTTCCATCAGCAGCGCTCCGCATTTGCGACATTGCGGGAGGTGGCGGGCGATTTCCAGAGGGAGGGAGTAACGAGGTACGGGTGATATCGGGCTCTCTTCTATTATTGGGCGTCACATCGCTGGTGAAATCAGTCCTGGTAAAGTCAGTCATAGTGGGAGCGCTCGCAGTTGCGCGATGGCGTCTGGGTGTTTCAGTCGATACTGCAGAATACTCTGAGTAGTCCTCATCGCGTGTCCGATTCTTTTTGGAAAACAGTTTTCCGAGTCCCAGGACGGCCAAGAGCTTTGTGATTCCACCTCCGGCTCCAGCTCCGCCATTGTCTTTCCGCGTTACATCGGAATACTTTTCCCCGGTATGTCCAGTGAGGTAGCTAGCTGATCCGGTCCTAGATGGGAGAACTTCTTGTCTTTGGCTGCGATCAAAGGAAGGGGATCGACTTCGGACTCGACTGCCACTGTCTTGGTTCTTATTCTTGTTTCGTCCTCTGGCGAGGGCTGCGAGTCCACCGAGTGCGATAAATGGGCCTAGCCATTTGGCTTTGCTCTTAGGAGGCTCCGATTTGTACTCTGAGAAATATTCAGACTCTGTGTATCGAGTGCGTGTATCTTCTGTTGGCGCCAACTCAGACCGCATTTCTGAGCGTGCTCCACCCATATAGTAGTCTCTGTGAGAAGCAGACCGCCAACTCAAGATGAAGTACAATATAAACAGAAAGAACATCCAGACAGCGTAGAGAATGAACAGGTAGAGGGGCGAGCCGTACAAGGTGAGTCCCAGGGGAACCTGAGTAATGCCTAAAAGGGCAATCGCTCGACCGAACCATTGGTGAATCATGATGCGCAAAGAGACGGACTTGGCCACCCTTCGCACGATCCAACCGCCCATAAGCTGCACTAGAAATAGAGTGAATATGGCGACACCAATCCCATGATGTGGGTTCGTCAAGCTTCGCTCAGGTCCGACTGCAAAGTAGCCCAGGATAAAGAGAGGCACCAGCAACAAGCCGGAAAAGACGTTGAGTTGACCATGGTATTTGATGGCCCAGCCGGGGCGCCTTGAATAGAATCTGGCAGTCATGACAGAAAAAGGGATGAGGAAGAGGAATATTATCGTTCCCAAAACGGCATGTGCTAGTACAAGACCATGATATTGTGTAAGTGTGGAAAATCTGTTTCCCATGCCTATCACCCAGTGTTAGTCGAATACAATCCTTGAACTCGAAGACGGGCTTGTATACCATTGTAACGCATGGTTTCATGGTTGAGACCCTGTAAATTTGGCAGTAGAAATGTATTTTTGTCGAAATCCCAGGTTCCATCTCCGACGACTTGAGTATTTGAATCATAACTCACTGCACCAGGTGCCGAGAGTTCATCGGTTGCCGGCGCCATGATGGCGACGACAGTAAGGAAAGTTCTGTTTCAGGCGGGATCGGGATGTCTCGCGCGGTGAAGTCTCGAGGTATTTCTGGTTCCTCGTAGCGTTTGGCGTGGTTCTCGTCTCGAGATTGGAATGAAGGAATGTTGTTGATGACCTTGCTGAATGCCTGTAAGTAGGTCGAGAAGCGAGGGCGATGTCGGATGTCTTAGGCTAAGAGTTCTAGCACAAACATCTTGCCTTAGATCCCGTCGTAGTCGTGAAATCGATTGCTGAAATCAAAGACAACGAGATGCCTAGAGCCCAGGTTTGTGTAGGTGAAAAGAAGCTACAAAAAAAGGTAGGTAGGTACGCAAGCCAAGCTCGAGGACTTGGGTCGTTCCGTCTGGGAGGGCACCGTCACCGTTGCCAGTTGCTAAGGTAGGTAGGGATGGTTGGTGGGGAAACCAAGCTAGGCTAGCCAGCGCATCCCATCATCATCCGTACCTGCCAGGTTTGGAGCACTTGAAGATATTGTGGGTCAGGATACGTATTGCCCGATAGTGGGGCCGCGGCGGTGAACGGTGACGGCCCGTTGAGTTTGTAGACGGGAGGCTTCATCAATAGCATTGTATTGGATGTGACGAGTACCTATTCTATTTAATCTTTTTAGCTGGTATGATAGTAACTGATTTATTTGCACCAGTTAGGCAGTGCCTAAAACACCTTGAGCGTCGTCTGCTTTCTAAACACTTAGTCCCTCTCGGTACTCAACTATGACTCGCCTCATCCTTCACCGTCTCTGTGCTCGATCAGAGAACCCACATAGTATTTCTCAAAACTGCAATGTGCCTAGGCTCCGATTTGACACTTGTCAAGCTTTTCATCATGAGGCTGTTTGAACCACTAGGAGTTCGCAGACTGATGCAATATGCCCCAGGCCGTGCGCTGTTACGACGTGTCGGCCCAAATTCCGTATGATCCGTTGCGATGGTACCTGAAAAGTGCAGTCTAGGTTCCCATGATCTCGATGTTGTACTATTACGCAGTATTGAACTTACTGAAAGGTCAAGGCTTTGGTTCCCTGAGAGATGTAAAATCTGAAGTCAATGCTACCAGGATCTACAAGGTCATGCAGCTAAGCTATCAGAGAGTCACACCAAAGATCTCTCCACAAACAAATGCACCGTTTATGCAGCCAAGAAATGCACAAATCGTTCCTTTCTTCTTTCGCCCTTCACTAATGAAGGCCAGCTGATTGGTGAAACAATCCTTGTGAAACCGTCCCTACTAATGCTGCCCCACCATTCCCTAGAACACGGCCACATGGGTTGTTGAAGGATTGGGACGAAATGTGCCAACAAAGTAAAGATATGCTCCAGAATCTCTAGAAGTTTGTAATCATTTCTCTCCTGATTATGAGCCTTAGTCCTTGGAATTGAAAGTCAGAGAAAGCATCTCCTATCGCTGCCTCTGAAGTCGGAAGAATCCCATTGTGTTTCCACAGCGTAGGCATACAGACATATTATATTACATCCATGTAACATCATTTATCTAAGGCTGAATCCTGATCCTACAAACCAGTTTACACACACAGCCACAGAGCATCAAATGATAGTGGTGTGCTATGAAAGCATGAATAATTTCCCTTATTATGCTACTGACGTGTGTGTCACTGGGACAAGATAGCCTATAAGTGAAGATAGGCCACAACAACAAATTCTATTCTCTCCTTCCTCTCTCATTGACCTTTTCGTAATTCGAGATGCGGACAACTGCCTTTATCACGGCGGTAGTGGCCCTCACCGCGTCTGCCAACGCATGGCTTCCCAATACCGAACCCCATGCCTTGAATGAGGGTGACAATGAAATATTCGTATACCGTCTTCGAACGGAGCCTAACAACAAAAGGTGGCTTCCAGCAACCAAAAAGATCCGAGGAGTAAACCTCGGCTCCTTCTTCATCTATGAGCCCTGGATCGATAGCCAAGAATGGGCCGACACAGGTTGTGAGGGGGAAAAGTCCGAATTTGACTGTGTCATGAACAAGGGACAAGACGTTGCAGACAAAAACTTTCAAGCTCATTGGAAACGCTGGATCAATGAAACCGATCTCGACGAGATGTTGAGCTATGGCCTGAACACTATTCGTCTGCCTCTAGGATATTGGCTAAAAGAAGACCTTGTCGACAATTCAGAGCACTTCCCCAAGGTACGTGAATCGTTTCTTGATATGCTGTAGCTAATACTTGGAGGGTGGTTTGGAATACTTGACTCAACTCTGTGGTTGGGCAAGCGACAGAGGCTTCTTTATCATTCTCGAGTCAGTCTCTCGACAAGATCATAACTCATACTAACTGTAAAATTAGCCTACACGGTGCCCCCGGTGCTCAAGAACACAATCAACCCTTTACGGGTCAATATGCTCCTACAGTTGGTTTCTATAGTGACCAAAACTATGAGCGCGCGATCGAATGGCTCGAGTGGATGACAGACATAATCCACACCAAGAAAGAGTATCGCAATGTTGGCATGCTTGAGCTCGTCAACGAGCCGCTCAACTGGGACAATGCTGTTGATTCGCTACGCAAGACTTATTACCCCAAGGCCTATAGTGTACTTAATATCCCACCGTCGACGTGATTTAATTCTAACGATTCATAGGCAATTCGTAAGATCGAGGATAAACTCAAGGTCACCAGCAACAACCGTCTTCATATTCAAATGATGGGTTCTTTATGGGGCAGCGGGAAACCAACCGAGTTTCTCAGTGATATCTCGTCCACGGCTTTCGACGACCATCGATACCTCAAGTGGGATACTAGTGTTGAGGTTTCCCATGAATCATACATCGAGAAATCTTGTTCCGATGATCGCAACATTGACGGCCCCACGATCGTTGGTGAATGGTCACTAGCTGTGCCCGATGATGTTGAGAAGACTAATGCTTGGAATCCTCAGACTCAGAAGGAGTTTTACACCAAGTGGTTCTCTGCTCAGGTGCATGCATATGAAAAGCATAGTCTCGGATGGGTCTTTTGGACCTGGAAGGCAAATCTTGGTGATGACTATCGCTGGTCTTATAGAGGTGAGCTCCAATTTTCAAAACTTATACACGATTACTAACAGTAGGAGATGCTGCGAGAGCTGGCGTAATTCCCAAAGACCTCGACTCCCTTCCTAGTGTTTGTTGACGAACTGCATCGTGCGAATTCTAGGAAAGACGATGCAAGAACTGGCGGTGCTACTGATTAAGATTAATTGTACTTATTTTATCTAAGACCCGATTCAACCATCGCTATATAAGACTGAGCTGACCTTGTGACGATGCACCGATAAAGCCTGTGTTACAGAACAGACGTAATTACCTCCTCAATACCAGAACTAGCCATGACGCCAGTCGGTATCCAGCAATGATGGAAATCATAATGCCGACATTGCGTCCCATATGTCCATTCGAATATCCATACTGATTCAAAACAGCCTGTCCTTCGATTTTGCACTGGTCCGCCAGGGTTGACTGATACATGCAGCGGCATCCGTCACCACAGCTGTAGACTCGATCGGCAAACTCATTGACCATCATACCCTCGAACACATACTTCTGGTAGTCCCAATAGTGAAAGACGTACTTGTAGAAGACATTAAGGATAGTTGGAGGCACCATGAAGCCACCAACCGACATCCACAGGCCATTCGCAAAGGCCACCAGTGCGAGAGAGATGACGAAGCTGGGAAATAGGGATGTCATAAAGACAACAAGTGACTCTGCAGCGAGCAGATCGAGGAACAGCCACAGAACCCAGGTGAAGAAGGCCTTTGCAGTTGGCTGGAAGTTGGAAAGCCAGTATGAGATGACTGAGAAGAGAATAGAAATAAGGAACAGGTAAGGAACGCCGATGAAGAAGTTGGATATAATAAGTTCCGCTGCTCCATAAAGGCCATTGTGGTGCTCTTTGACGTATTGGAGCCGATCTTCAATGAAAGCAGGGACATAAGCCACTGCCATGAAACTCATAAAGGCTGAGCCGAAAAAGATGGCGTTGATGAATGGCTGAATAGACTCTTGCGCAGGGTCGAGCCTCACCCAGACAGTTCCCATCATGATGGCGAGACCAAGATACATAGCGATACGAATGCCGTAGGCTACAACATCTCGATAGCTTTTGATGAAACTTCGATGGAGAAGAGTAAGCGTAAGACTAAACATGCTAGGCCTCTTCTCAATTGCATCGATATTCCAGTCACCACCCGAAGATTCGGCAGACTTGATTGCAGTGTTGACTTCACTCACTTGTCGTGAGTTTTTCCATGCGGCTTGAAGTATTTCCAAGTCTCTTGTTGCCTCGCCTCTATCCTGGGCAAAGTCAATGTTGACCAGCTCAAGAAGATGCTCGGCAGGGTTGACATATTGAGGTAGCGGAGATCCAACTTCGGAGTAATATGCCGCAACACTGTTTACAGGGCCGAAGTAATGGGTCTTTCCGCCAGACAGGAGGAGCAGCTTGTCGAATAAGTTGAAGGTCGATGTGGATGGTTGATGGATAGAGCAGATGACAATAAGGTTGTTGCGCTTGGCCACATCGCGAAGATATTTAACAACTTCTAAACTGGCAGCTGAGTCGAGACCACTTGTCGGTTCATCAAGAAAGAGAAGCTTGGGACTAGTGATGAGTTGACTCGCAACACCGACACGACGTTTCTGACCACCTGAGATACCCTTACGAATAGGCGTTCCGATAAGGGTGTTGGCTTGTTCGACTAGACCGAAAGACTCGAGGAGGTTGTTCATGCGGACGATCCGTTCTTTCTTAGACAAAGAGCTATCCAAGGTCAGATACTATCTAGAAGCTGTGTAGACAGAATGCTTACCTTGAGCTGGCGAGCCGCGATGAGAACTCGAGTGTTTCTCGAACAGTCAACGAGCCAATGAGGGCATCTTCCTGCTCGACAAAGCACGAGACTTCTCTGAACTCGGCAAGGGATAAATGGCTTCCGTTAATGTTGACTTCTGCTTCAACACTGCTCGCATTCGTTGGACGGCGTGCTAGTACGTTAAGAAGTGTTGTTTTACCGCAACCTGAGGGGCCCATGAGGGCGCAAATCTCGCCTGGAAATCTCATCAGCGTGGTATCACTGAAGAATGACAGTCACCACAAACCTGCTTCGACTATGCCTTCGACATTGTCCACGATTGCCTTGGGCTGTTTTGTTTCTCTATTTTTGACTGTTACAGTGACGTTGCGCCAAGTGAAATTCTTGATTGTGGTGTTGAGAAGATGCTTCTCTGCGACAGGACGTTGCTCTGAGTCCATGCTGTTGTCCAAGTCAGATGACTTATGGACCGTCATTTTGATGGCTTCACGATTGAGTACCGTGGTAGAGATGAAGGGAGCTGGAGAGAACTGGTGAGTGTAGCAATTGATTGTTTTGGTGATGTTAAGAAAAGACAACTTGCATGCTGTGTTCTTATATATGAGTAAACACTGCAGTCATCGGGAGAAATCAATTTAAGAGGACAGAGGAGAGTCTGTTTCATCTTTCGGCGTCTTGACTATAGCCCGTGCCATCCACCAATTTTCAGCTGAAGCAAAAGGTGCGGGCGACTGGTAAATTTTGATTGCTTACTCGAGCTCCGCCACTACCATTTTGGGACTCTGAGCTGACGTATGTATTACTGCTTCTATTGCTCTACGGCCTGTCAAAGCTGAACATGTCTCCGAATGGAAGCGGACGATAAACAAGAAGCAGATCAGAAAGACCGAGATCCGAGATCCGGCTCATCTCTACTGTATCAAGATCTCTCTGCATAGTGAACAACTGCCGAGTTATCAGATAATCGCAAGCTTACAGGTGGTGGAATTGGATCCATACACGTCCATGCATGTAAGCAATCTCGGGGTCTAGATTATTTCTTTTCGTATTACCCATGCATGTGAATTCAGCTTCTGAGTAAGATTTCACCCAGTTCCTGAATCCGTCCCGACTTGTTGGCTCCTTCATGTGATTGGCTCGTGATGGCTTAATTCCCGAGTAATAGGGCTGAATCTCGACCAGGGTCGCCGACGAGCCGAAGACTCGACATCGCCGAGGGCCGTTTTAAACAGCGACGGCGAGAATATGAAGCTTATTCTTGATCTACATTAGAAATGCCGTGTCTTTGATATCTGAGAGTCAAGCCGACTTATCCGGTCTTCCTCTTCTTCCAGGCATCATTCTCACGACTCAGAGATAGGTATCAGACAAATAATGCCATGCCGGGAATAACATGTATCCTCGAATTTCTAAAGAGGGCTACAATACTCTATACATCATAACAGTCTGATTACTTCTCATCACACATGTACATTTTTTATCTATACATCTTGTCCGCGGCAACACTGCATCAAAGTCTCTCTGCTCGAAGTCGCCAGCCAAAACGCCTGGCTTCAAATCAAATTTCAAGTACAACCCTTTCTTAGAAGCCCTGGACTGGTAGTGCTTAATTCCATTGCTTGTTCCCAGGATCGGTCCAATGACCCATCATACCAGGCACAACCTGCATATCCTCAAACTCGTGAATCATAGCGTCGTCCGCCGCAATCTTATCCATCGCTTCACCATGGGTCGTGCTGATCCAAAATTGTGGCAATGTCCTATGCTGCTTCTTGACCTGGTAGATGCTTCGAGCCATGCTCTTCACAGAACTACTCTCTCGCTCTGAAGCGCTCCATACCAAAGACATCCGTGAGAGGGCACCAATGTTGAAGCGGAGAACCTGGCGTAAGTTGTTCTCGCTATCGGGTGTGAATATAGCCCATCTGTTGAGGTGAATTATAGAGGACATTGTAACCACGTAACTGAAGAAGTGACTGTGAGAAAGTAGCGAGACACGATGGGTGACAAGCTCGCTGATCTCTGTCGCGGCTTGTATTATGTTCTTCGTATGGTTGTTGAAATCGTCTACTGACGATTTCGAATCGAATTGGTCGATCTGGTTGTTTGACTGGCTCAATATTGAGTTCAGCTGTGAGTATGGTTGATGAAGCAGAATTGACGTAGCGTGAGTTATCATGTGAGCTTGAAAGAGCATCTCATCAAAATGGCCATATTGCCGTAAAGCGTCTGCCTTTGACTTGGGTAAGCTGACTCGCCAACTCGTCAACATCGTCTGGATATTTCTGAGGCTTTCGTCGTCGGGTCCAGAAACGGGAGGGATTCTCAAGAGTCGTCCGAGGTTTTGAGCCGCTTGTATTCGATACGCGAAAGATGAAAACTCGTGGCTTGTACCGGAGAAGTCACTCTCATTCATATCCCTGAGATACATTGGCTCGGGGGTGTCCTACAGAGTCAATCAGGTCAGAGATACTCTCTCGTACGAAGGAATTAATATCTTACACCAGACAGATATTCATACTCCTCACAAGGCAAGGCAACATCAGAAGCCACATCGAACAGCAAAAAGTTCGTGCTTCGATGGACACCAGCGATTAGCCCGTCCACAATGAAAAGATCCCACCACGTCCGTCTCCAACTCTCTTCCATCATGGGAATGCCCCTCCCGTAAGTAGTCGCATATGATCTCGTATTGAGGCCAATATCCACAGAAATTCTCTCGAGTCCAGATAATATTTGTCGAGCTTGGTCCTGTTGACCTTGTCCATCCAACCCGATCAGAAGGAGTAGCAAAGCCTGTACAAGGAACCCATCTTTTCGGCGGCGCGGTTCGTAGATGAGTTGATGAGCTTCCTGGAAGAATCTCCCCCGCTCTGAACATGCTGGAATATGTAATGAGCCGATCCAGCGCATTACAGCGAGTACGGGCATCACAGAACTCTCGTGAGAGATCATCAGAAGTGACTCCTTCGGCAACACAAAGGGATGTGCAGCATGGAAATGGTTGTAAAACGAGTCTATACAGCGTTCAGGTAAAGTCAGTGCAGGGACATGCGTCACGACATGTTCATGCTGTGGACTCGTGAACAAGTTGAGCATGTCAGTTGATGTATCTGCTGTATCGTACGGCCCGAAGAAAGACATATCGCTCTCCAAGCTGTTGCTAGCGTCCAAGGCAGGGTCGAGGAAAGGTGTCGATAATGGTGAGTTGAACATGTCGTCGCTCATATTGGGACTCAGAAATAAAGATGATCCCAGCGAAGCAGAACGTTCTGGCCTTGATGTCACTGAGCCTTCGCCACTACGTGTTCGAGTTCGAGCTGGAGACACGCCGTGCTTCTTGCTGGGCTTTTGAACATTGCTTCTTCGAGGACCTTTGTAGCCCCGTCTTGAAGCTACATAGACACACTCAGAACCAGAACTAAGGCAGCGAGAACAAGGATTTACACCATCGCATTTCAGGTGTCTTCCCCGCTAAGAGAGAAATAATGTCAGCAGTGGCTCTACCTCGTTGCAAGAGGCAGTACTTACACAAGCCAGACAAGCAGCTGGGACAGAAGTAACACTCATGCGACTGCTCTCAGCCGCCGTAGACGTTGATCCACAAGGTGAAACCCTCCCGTCGACGCCAGAGCTGGGCGAATTTGAGTTGGAGGACAGTTCATCGTTCCCCGAGTATGTATCTTCTCTATTCGAGTTTGAGATTGTCTGGTGGAATGAGTTTCTGGGGTTCATTGTCGGAGAATACCACATATACGATGTGCTTAGAGGGTCAGAATAGAATGAATAAGGTTGAGGAGAGGGAAACGGCGAGGAGAGCTCGGAACGAGTCCCAGAGAAAGTCTTCCTTCTTTCGTCCATTGATGAGTGCTTCTTTGAAGATTGTTAGTGGTTTCAAGAGGTGAATTCAAGCTTCGATATAAGCCAATAGTGGGTATTTCGTGATTGAGGCGTTGTCGGTAGTTGACTGAGAGATGGGACTTAGTACAGGTGCTGACTGTGTCTTAGTCGAGTTCAGATCTTGAATGCCACTTTCTTAAGAAGGCGGCCGCTTGGCTTAGATCTAAAAGTGAACCTTGCTAGGGCGCCAAAGACAATATCTCTGAAGGGCGCAAGTGATCCAAGGTGACGATATTTGTTGAATAATCAACTCTCACTCGACATGTCTGCTGGCATAGACTTGAGAGGGAAATGGAACCTGCAAAGAAGATGGAAGAAGATTAATAATACTTCGAAACGAATACGCTTCTGCATGGTCTGCCTGTTATAGATATTCTTCCTCAGGCACAGAACAACGTCATGTCACTGATGAACGAGCCGAATCTCCGAATGATTCAAAAACAACCCTGGTACCATGTCCAAATAGGACATTTAAGCGCCAGTCTCGATATCATCATGCTTCACTCGGAGGGCTACGTACGGAACCCGGCATTTCCATCATGGCAAACCGTGTACAGCCAAGGATCTCTCTTACAAGGACCATCTTCAGCCCTAGCACTAGCAAACGGCGGTAGTTCAGGGATCACGGAACGAGTAAGTAGTTGAGATTGGGGGTTGTACTTCCTGCTCCCTAGTAGCTACGCCATCCTCTTCATTCTGCCACTTGCATCATTCGCTTGCGTTGTCATTGTAGTCGCTTGTGCCGCACAGATGCGAAGATGACAGGGGTAAGCTTGGTCCGACCTCGAAATGCAGACAGAGACTCATGTCAGCCAGTAAGGTTAACCAAACTAGCGGACGCCCGCCCAGACTGTCGGTGCCACATGTTGAAATGGTGCAACGCTCGTTTAGTTGACTATCTAGCCTAGAGGAGGCGAGAAAACTGAAAGACCTCTATCCTAGGGGATGAAAATATTTGGATAGCTGTAGCCTAAGCTGAGGGGGTCTTTACTAAGTTGATTTTAAAATCCTCTTCTAAAGTCTCAAGTTTCTTTTGTCTTGCTCTGTGAAACACAGTTTTAAGAGGCTAGTTACAATTACTAAGTAAACCCGAGTCTTTAACATGGGGTGACTATCTCCAGGAGCTTATAACCACTAACCTGCGGGCGTTATATTAGAGAGCCGGGGTTACCAGCACAAGGGTGTGTCTAAGTGAATGGCAGCTCTGCCATGGACCAATCAGGTCAGTCAGCTCGTACAAGTTGATCCATTTCTATAAACGGCCATGCAGGTCTCATTGCTTCAGAATATTGAGGGAACAACAGAAAACAGCATGTCACTTGCTTCCCTTTTAGACAATCCTCATCCCATTCCAGTACCGAGCATGATGCAACATGCACGCCTTTGCCGCATCCCGACGTGTCGGGCTTGGCATAGTAGAAGGACAGGGGTGACAAGTATTTGCATTCTTTTCGTCTTGACCTCGTGGCTGCGACATGTCTGTGGGTGTGAAGGCCGGCACTCATAGGTCCCGGCCACACTGCCTCGATATCAACTCCAGCAACTAACTATATGCGAGTCTAACAATACTAAGAGGCCATCATCGTGCTTATGGCTTCACCCAAGATCTAATCCTAAAACCTTAGTTCTTAGCACCAAAGATCATACCGTTGCATAGCATCATAACTGGCTGGCTGAAGTGCTGTTTTTACCCAACCTTTTGCTAAGCTAATCTTGTATTCCTCAGAGGCCATGCCATGTTGCAGCTTGTCAGGTGTGTGGGTATTATCCCCAAGCCGTTACAAGGCACCAGAAATCATGTCGGCAAGGTAATGCAACGCTGCGAGGTCTAGCTCTGCGGAAGTTGAAGGCCGCGGAGGTGGAAGTGGAAGTGGGAGTGGGAGTGGGAGTGGGAGTGAGAGTCAACTTAAGCCACGTTTTTACGCTTACCTGAGCCAGTAAGCCATGCAATTCTAGAACTGGCTTCGAAGATAATATCTCGACCAAAAGTGATGAATTGCGGCCCGCAAGCGGTGTTGCGGCATCTATCACGGACCGCGTACCCGGGATATTGGATGGCTTACTGAGAGCTGATGAGGATCAACTCCATAATTAGTAAGAATTAGAAGACGTTGACAAGACTTCCAAAAATACAATTGGTCTAACTTGACGCGGAATTTGAGAGGAATGACGTACGTGTTTTATTTCCCGCAGGCTGACTCACAAGATGGTTCAAGCTGCCAACATCAACCTTAAACAAACATCCATCCATCATGTAGGTGGGTGTAACTTGGTGTTTAGCATCTCGGAGAAGCCGTCTGCATGTAACATCCGGATCTACAGCTACAATCCGAGTTAAATCCTAGCGAATCATACTGCAGTTTCTGGTGACAGGATATTCCATATTGAGTTAAGCTTAAGACATGGGTTGAGAGAAACTGAGCATCAAGTGCTGTAGGCAACCGTTTACTCAAGTCCTGTAGGCGGTCTGCTTAACAATTTCCAACCCGAGGTTTCAGAGTAATGCAGTCAGTTCTCAACTTCGCAAACTACCGGCGTTAAGAAGATCATGCATGAAGCGGAAATGGCAGTTGCTTAAGGACCCTGGTCTCGAAGGATTCATGTACATCCGATCCATGGCAATTCGGGTCCTTTCGGCATTTATACGTCCCTTACTCATGGTAACGGGGTTGCTTACAGTACAGTACCTACCTACACTACTGTACACGGCGTGTGTCGCTAATACGAAAAAGTGATCGACAGGATAGATAGACGAAGAGTGCACGAGTCAATTGCAGCCCTGTTGAAGGATCCGAACGACTCGATAATTGTTGCAGGAGGAATGCCATTGGCCGCATTTACGGGTTTCCATATTCGACTTCAATTAACCAGCCTTGGATCCAAATCATCATCTCATCTCCGTTCTTGTTTGTCTTTCCCTTCTATCTCCGGGCTGCTTATCATAGCTCCCACCAATCATCACGTCGTCCCGACCTCGCATGATCCCCCGCAGTGTCGAATACATCCATAATTTTAGCTCCTGAACCACTCAGTGAGTGACAAGAAGTCACTCCATCACATCCCATCACGGCGAGTTCGTCGGCCGCCTCATACCCTGCTCAGCCGCACAGCCTCTCTGCCAGGAGCCCCAAAATAAGCTGCAGTAGGGCGCAATGGACCCTGTATCCCTTGCCGGCTTGGCGCTGGGAGTTGCTTCCATCAGCCTCCAGGTTTACACAGGATGTATTCAAGGTAGGTAACTCTAGCTCATCATAACCAGCATAACATGTGAAACTGACTTCCATCAGGGATACAGCTCCTTGTTACGGCATTGGGCTATGAGGATGAGTGCAAATATCTCAATCTCCGTCTCAGGATGGAACAGCAGCGTCTGTTTTGCTGGAGTGAGGCTTCTGGCCTGCTTGACCTTGACGCCAAGAACCGAGACAAGGTTCTCAACTCAAACGTATTCAATCTTCACCGCCAGACTGTAATTGATCTACTTGTTCAAATCCAGTGCCTCTTCAATGAGTTTACAGAATACCAGCAGAAGCACAATAACCTTTCTACCGTCGTGGATAAAGATGGCGTCCTGGATTCACCAGAAAAAGATGCCAAGCTGTCAAACTATCCTATGAGTGATAAGAAACGGAACTTTATCAAAAAGGCCATGGCTGGACTCAAGTCCAAATCATCAGAAAGCCTTACTAGGTTAAGGTGGACTTCATTTGACAAGCAAGGGTTTGAAAAGTTGCTGGCCAAGTTTTCAGTCCTCAACGACAACATGACCAATATCCTCGATCACTCCTTGCAGGTCGAGATTCGCAATACTGTACAGGACACCAACCGTGGGGTCCTGTTACTCCATCACAAGATAGCCGATCTGAGTCATCTTGTGTTAGCTCTAAAGTCTCAGCTCGATGCAGGTTCCCGGCTTGGACCATCGCAAATGTCCAAACTGGAAAGGGAAGCCAACGCTGACGCTCTACGGCAATTGTCGAGATTAGCCAAATTCAAGGCCTTCAATGAGACTATCGATCCCAAGTCAGATAGCCCAGCAGTCTTTGACGAAGCTGCTGCAAAATTCCTCGATCTTGCAAAGCCAGGCCATCAGCGCAATCTATTCATCCCTCGATACCTCATAGAGCTAGACCCTGAGGTGGATGAATCAGAGGCTCCACGATGCGAGGCTTTCATGAAGACAGCAGAAGGCAAGAAGAAGGTTTGGATTGAGTGGAAGGACTATGACAACATGGATACCCAACCAGGTTCGCTATCAAAGGCCGATATCATTGAGAGAGTCCGAAAACTTGCTGCTTTGCTGAACCATAGTCCCAAGCCCGAGGCCTTTCGCACTCCTCACTGTCTGGGGTTCTTCGATAAAGCTGATCCTAACATCCCCGAGGATGACGTTGATATTCTAGATCGGAGACTCGGCCTCATATTCGAGCGCCCATCCGACGATAATCTACAGACCTCTCTCCCACCTGTTTCGCTCCGTGAGCTTCTTCTAGACCCAAAGGTCCGCAAGCCTCGTGTTACAGAACGGGTGTACTTGGCACATGCTATCAGCAATTGCCTCCTCTACCTTCATGCTGTGCACTGGCTACACAAGGGTCTTCGCAGTCACAATGTGTTATTTTTCCGAACACGTGATGGCCGCATAGACTACCGTCAACCATATCTCTCAGGTTTCGATTTTTCACGGCCTGGAGGGTTAGATGAGATGACCGATGCACCAGGAGATGATGCAGAGCATGATCTATACCGACATCCCAACGCCCAGTCAAACCGTCGACGAGATAGAGAGCGTTCGAAGAAAAGCTTCGACATTTATAGTCTGGGTGTCATTCTAGTCGAATTAGCACATTGGCGGCCGGTTGAAGATGTGCTGAGTATCGACATGAGGCGTGCGCGCGGGAGACCTGATGTTGTGCGCGGTGTACGAGAGGCTCTGTTGGAGGAAGACCAAGTCGCATCAGTAGGTGCTGACATGGGAGAGAGGTTTGAAGATGCGACACGGAAATGTTTGGCTGGAGGTAAGGATTTTGGACTCAGTGAGGGAGATGATGAGACACGAGATGAAGTTGCTGAAAAGTTATCAATGAAATTTTATGAGGACGTGGTAAAGCGATTGGAGGGCGTGGTCGTGTAGAGCGAGTATGGTTTAGGGACGCATTTAGACTTGTCATAACTGAGCAAAACGATGAGAGAAGGGCCGTGAATTAAGTATCCGAACGAGGTGTTATTTGAAGACAAAGCTATCGAAATCGTCGTGTCATTAGCCGACGATGGTATCCCTTTGAAATGTCCTCCGAAATGATTCGTGCCTGAACGCCAGAGCTTTACTCTATGATATCCTTGCCCACTGGAATTGTTTAACAGCAGCAGTCTAGGCATTCGAAACAGCAAAGACCAGCGCAGATACCACAGCAAATAGCCTGGGAAGAATGTCAGTTAATGTTGCAGAGTTGAATGAATTGGTTGTTCTTACACCACCGTCTTTGCCTCCTCGCATGCTCATTTCAGGCTGTTCCATTGTCATGGGCTGAACTGGGCGCTGTTAATAACGAGTTAGTCAATCATGATTCACGAAGTTTGAAATCCAATGCTTGACTATTGTGTCTTGGCGATTGGAGAGACTTTTGGTAGAAGCCAAGCCAGAGGTTCGTGGGTGACATACCGGCTGCTCGGTGCTGGTTCGCTCGGCAGGGAACGCTGCGGGGGCCGGTTCACGGGGCATCTGCATGGCCGAAGAAGTAGTAGAAGGCATATTGACTGTTGTAAACGGAGTATAAGACTGAATTGATTGGTGTATATAAGTATAGAGGTTTATAGACAAGCAGTTGATGTTCTACTGTGAATATCACGATGGGTTGAAAAAAGAAGGATGAAAATCAGGCCAGGACAAAGAGCGCAACGTTGTTGTTATAAGGCTCTCACTCTCAAGCAGCTGATTCTACGGACGGGACAGGGTCCACGGTCCATTAGAGGCGGGCCCCGTTGACTCAAACGAGGCGTCGGGATTTGGGGCTGACAGGCAGGATTAGCACTGGATTTCCCCTTCAATACGGCACATGGACTCATCCCCAACAATAACATGACCATGTCCATGTCCATGTACGGGCATGTTCCTTCGGTGCCGTGACCTCCGGGCAAGGTCAGCCGGAGCCCACATGGGAGTCACTCTACTGAGGATTCGTCTACTGCAAGACATCACAATTCGGCAACTATCGACATCATCATGACTTGAGAGATACCACCTCTTAGCATCGCAGATCCTGCACCTATCAAGTACTGCGCAAGTCTCCCACTTAGGCGTGGCTGCTGATGCGAACCGCTCCACGGACGGCACGTCCGATGCCCCGGGCTAAAAAAGACTACTGTACCTAAACAGAGCGAAGAATACCTATCTAGCTTGAGCAGCAGAAAAAGAAATAATGACGTATGCCTGACGGGAACTACTGAGTGGTTGCAGGCGGACCCCTGCTCGCAAACCAGCGTGTTCTGGAACAAGCCTAATCTCTTAGCAGTTGGCTCTTCTGTAATGTTACATATTCTAGAAACTATAGAGAGCCACTTTCTCGGTGTTCGGATTGAGGCTTTTCTTCTTGATACACGTACTGAATTGCGAGTTCTTTCTAAGAATAGCTGTTTCGGTTCGGCCGAGTCATTGATCATGGCTTAGAGTCTATCTGGCAGATTGGCCCGGTTATAACGGCGGAGAACGTGTACGTAATCCGTCTGTTAAGCCACTGCGACAACGTCAAAGCTGAGGCTGTAAATAAATGGGTTAACTTTAAGTTTAAAAGAAGGCTGATGTGATCTACCGCAGGAGATTCTTGAATATTATTTTATGCGACAATTAAGTAAACTTGGTGGATAATTCGTCTCCTCCTTGAATTTCTTTTGACATCAACTTGACGGCTTATGCCAAAGAACAACTGAATAAGGGAGAAGTTACGTCGGAAAGTTATCTCGGATTGCTATACTGGTATCTATAGAGTATTCATCAGATATAAGTTCCAACTCTCTATACTCTGATCTCCCCCAGTCTTACTTGTCTTGTGAGAAGCTGACTGTAACAAGGATTAGCATATGCTCGGATTGCTTTTTGACATGATACTGGTTCCCTAGTCTTTGAACGATATGTAACCTCTGCGAATAATTTATATAGTTAGTAGTGCTGTAAAACTACGTATGTAAAGCTCGTCTGGAACTGTTTAGCGTTTATAATAGCGCCCTCCTGCGACGAAAGAGAGTTAAATGCATGAATATTGAATTATCTTGCCCCAGATGGCCGCACAGAAATCCGGCATTCACTTACATTATGTCGCTGGGATTGCCTGAACTATGTACTCCATCAACTGATTATTCAAAGCTGACCTGGTGACACCTATGTAATAAAGATACGAGCGAGAAAAATATATTATCCACTCAAATAGACTGGGAAGCCAAACACCTCGTGACTTGTCCAAATGCAAAGGATTCGTAGATGTGGTACAGGGTAGGTAGTCATGCACTCGTAAATGACTTCGATGAACGAAAGCGATAGTATCTTCAATTGTCAGTTTAGAGAAATGCTATGTTGCTTTCTATGAAATTTCCATCTTTTCCTTGTTACCAATAAGGATGGTTCTCAGTGCTTCATTTTCTGCCACTACATGCATGATACAGCTCCAAGGTGTTAATCATTAATAATAAGCCCAAGATTTAAGCAACACCCAACACAATTACACTGTCTGACAAAGAAACAGGCTAAAATTGCGGGAAGCACATCCTTACCCGCAGTTGTATCAATTTCATAGCGAAACATTGACTGTCAGCTGGATGAAACATGAAGCTAACAGGGTCACTCATAAACGTGGTGGTCACAAGATTAGAGAACTCAACAAGAATACCTAGTACTCTGTGTCGATACGTATTTAGAGATATATACTTCTATAATAACTGCAAAACGGTTTTATTAGCAGTATGCAAGCCTAAATGCAAAGGTAGGTAGGTACCTATTCAGTTGGAATAAAGTTAGATCTCAGCATCTAGATTCTGGGATTTACCGACATTTCCCCGCTGTTGAAACAATGAATCAGAAAATGAAGTGGAATGTGAGGTGGCAGTGGAGTTCCTTGATCCGGGGGACTAAGCCACTGAGTGTCGAACCTATGATAGGTAAGGTCAGGCCTGCAACCTCCAACAACTTGCCAAGGGGCCATGTGTTTTTGACGATGCGACCGTTCTAAAATCACTCCTATACTTAGCATTTGTTTGATCCCAATGACTTGAATTGCCAATTTTTCCGTTCCTTTTACTTCAATTCTGCGCTGATCGAACCTCCTCGACCCCCTTTCGACCGCCATACGCTTTCTTGGCTCCTTGGCTCAAGCTCGCTCCCTGTTGGACGGGGTCGCCGTCATCTCCCTCACCCTCGAAATCCTCCTCAACAGTCATCGCCAATAATCGTCTGTATTCGCGCTCACGATGGCTTCACACGGCCAATACCCCCCTGCGCATATGATGCCCAACAAGCATCATCATCATGCCCCTTACGGCTCTCCTGCGGCTATCCCTGGAGGCGCTCCGGCTGGTACCTTCGCCCCAGGCACCAAGATCCAGGTTGGTAGCCACCGCGTGGTGATTCAGAAATATCTCTCCGAGGGAGGCTTCGCCCATGTCTACCTCGTCAAGCTGGCCAAGCCTGTCGACGGCACCGATCAGGCTGTCTTGAAGCGAGTTGCGGTTCCCGATAAGGATACCTTGCGGGGCATGCGCATCGAGGTTGAGACAATGAAGCGTCTGAAAGGCCACCGACCGATCGTCACATATATCGACTCGCATGCCTCCGAGCTTCAAGGAGGAGGATACGAAGTTTTTCTGCTCATGGAGTTTTGCAATGGCGGTGGCTTGATCGATTTCATGAACACCAGGCTACAACACCGCCTCACGGAGCCAGAGATCCTCAACATCTTCACCGACATCGCTGAGGGTGTCGCATGCATGCACTACCTAAAACCACCACTGCTACACCGCGATATCAAAGTTGAAAACGTTCTTATTACCGCCAGAGGATCCTCCAAACGATTCAAGCTCTGCGATTTCGGTTCAGCCGCATCTCCTCGTCCCGCCCCCACTACCGTCACCGAATGTCGTCTCATGGATGAAGATGTACAGAAGCACACCACGATGCAGTACCGGAGTCCTGAGATGATCGACGTATACCGCAAGCAACCCATAAACGAGAAATCTGATATTTGGGCATTGGGAGTTTTACTGTATAAGCTGTGCTACTACACTACTCCCTTTGAGGACCAGGGCCAATTGGCAATTTTGAATGCCAGCTACAGATTCCCAAGTCACCCTGTATTTTCTGACAGGCTCAAGAAATTGATAGGTAATGCTCATTGGCCCTGGTTGTTTGTTTCAGGACTGACATGGTTTCAGCATCAATGTTGAGAGAGAACTTACAAGATCGACCGAATATCTTCCAAGTACTAAAGGAGGGATGCGCCATGCAAGGGCGTGATGTTCCCGTTCAAGATGTAGGTGTACGATTCACCCAAGAAGAATTCATAATAACAATGACAACAGATTTACAGTCGTTCGCAACCCCACGCAAGAACCGATAGTCCTCAACCCAAGGCCCCAAAACCAGAACGAACTCCTGCTGTGGGTGCCGTGTTTACCCGAGCCGAACCTCAGAAGCAAGTTATTCCTGATGTTGTACCAATGCGAAGAGGACGACCGGCGGCTTCACCAGCTCCGGCCAAGGTAGTCCAGAAGCCGGATGCTTCTCCGATGAGGAAGACTGAGGGGGACCCCTTTGCTGCCCTTGACTCCAAGGCTGCTTCCAAAGGATTTGACGAATTATCTTCAAGATTTCCTACCCTCGATCAATTTTCACTATTGCATGATCAAGGCACCAAATTCGATTTTGATGTCTCCTCACCCATCTCACCCACAGGCAATACGTCATCTGATTTGAACGAAAGAGTGACGGCAAAACTGGCCGACGAGGCATTCGCAGCGCCGCAGACCGAGTCTCCTCGACCGAAGCCCGTGTCTAGGACACACTCGGTCACTCCTGTCGGACACCATGCTGCAGTTGCTTCACCTCCCTTGGAGCCCCCCCTTGCTAAGACTTTGTCTGCACCAAGCAGACCTGACATTAGCAGGGCGCAGTCGATCATTAGCAACAACCCCGAGCTGCAGGCGATCTCTTCTCAATCCAACTCCCGATATGTCTCGACTGGCACGATGACCTCGACACCTCCACCTGAGAAGTTCAGCCGGGATGTGGAACGACCTGTTCAGCGCGAAATCGCTGAATATTCTCGTTCCAGCAGTGCTACAAGGCAGGTTGACCCGAGTGCAGCGCAGTGGAACGCAGAGGAACCCCGTGCTGCAGTCTCACAAAGAATTTCGGCTTTTCAGCAGCCTAGTCATGAACGTCAGCCATCTTCATCGAGGCCCTCACTTGAAGGCGGCCGTCCTCGTGCTGATTTCCTAGAACCTGCTGCTCGCGCCTCACCAGCCCCTTCTCGGCCACGACCTGCTAGTACGAACCTTGAGGGCACGACTCTGGATTTCTTGCGTGAAAGAGAGGCTGCATCACGCTCATCAAGCCGACCGCCCCAATCTCGCTCCCCCTATCAAGAGCCAGATGACGAACCACGCACGTCAAGCGATATGGAGTTCTTGAGAAGTCTGGAGGATTCGGAGCGTACCAAGTCTAGCAAGCGTTCCAGCTTGACTTCGCTTTCTGGCAACAAGAACATTCTGGCAGGAAAATTCGGTGATGCATTCAAACGCTTCGAAGGCAGCTCCCCTAACAATGGGAGAATCCCTTCGCCAGAAAGGGACATGGCACGTCGTGATCTCACTCCTATCGCAGGCTCTGAGGCAACTGATGGACGCAGTGACGATGGTCATTTCCACGATGACGAGGATCGCATGACACCTGAAATGAGACGGGAAATGGAACGGCTGAAGCTTCAAGAAGAGGAACAACGCGTGGAGGCAGCACAAGCCGAATATAGAAAGCGGGTTGCTGCAGGACAGCGCGGACCACCAGTTCCGCCTAAGAGTATTGGGGGAGTTTCCCGTGCTGTCAGCATTCAGAACAGGGTTCAGAGTCTCTTGAATGAAGACCAAAAGCCGTCCAGCATCCAAAGAACTGCCCAAGGTTACGGAAAGTACACTGATGTTCCGGAGACTGGCAACAAGCCCGAGAAATCTCTCCCTGGAGTTCCCAAAAAGCCCTTGATGGTGGCAAAAACACGGGTCGATTTTCCTCAAGCACGAGGTCCTTCTTCGACATCTTCTGCGCCCCCAGCTCTTACATCCAAACCCCCAGCGAAACCCCCAGCTCCAAAGAAACCAGTGCATCTCAACAGTCTGCCCACTGGCCCACGACCATCATCACCCCAAAAGCCCACACGAGCTCAAACATCGACGGAAGAGCTGATTGAATTTCCCGGACAACAAATGGTGGACATGACAGCTAAAGAGAAGGATGATTATATTCAGGACTTTTCCAAAAGGTTCCCCAGTCTCGGTTCGATCGAAATGGTTGAGCGAGAGATTGGGGGCCAGAACGGAGGATCAAGCCGGTAAATAGACATTGGTGAAGGGATTTAGAACTGCCATACTGCACATACATTTGAATATACTCAGCGCATAGCGTCCAGAATGTTTCTGGTAAAGGAAAAGGTCCTGTTTCTAGATGATGAAAGTCATGTATATGGTGGGGGTATGCATATATGCAGTATGCGTCCTTATCTTATCTCCCAATATTTTTTTTCGGTCCTTGACTTGTAGCTGGGAATTGAAGCTTTCTGCAGCGACTACTCAACATCAGAATAAATTCGACAAAATGGCCAAACGCAAGAGACAAGCTATCGCTCAAAACGAGCCTGCTTCTGAGCCTTCGATCAAGAAGAAGGCAAAGGGTACTCAAGTTCTTAAGGAAAAGCCTGTGAAGGCAAAGACTTCGGCGCCGAAGAAGTCTACTACTACCACGACCGCTTCGAATGCGCCCGAGACTATCCAGATCGTTGTCGGCTCCTACGACCGAATTCTTCACGGATTGACAGTGACGGTTGGAGGAAAGGAGAAGGCTGAATTCGCCGACACATTTCTCTTCAATGCTCACACCTCGGCGATTCGCTGCGTCGCTGCGTCGCCCATTTCAGCGCCCGTTCCTGGACAGACACAAAAGGTCATGCTTGCCTCTGGCAGCACTGATGAGCGGGTAAACGTTTACAACCTGTCGGCACATCCTCCCAGCCGAAAGAATCAGGAGATCCTGGCCAAGGTTGCTCCGCGACCAATTCTCGAGAACCCCAAGAACCGAGAGGTTGGCACGCTTCTTCATCACTCTTCGACTGTGACATCGCTATGTTTCCCTACACGCTCAAAGCTACTATCATCGAGCGAAGACTCTACAATTGCGGTCACACGAACACGAGATTGGTCTTTACTTAGCAACATCAAGGCACCTATTCCTAAGCCTCAAGGCCGTCCTAGCGGCGACACAGCGCCTTTCGGTGGTACTCCTTCTGGCGTCAACGATTTTGCCATCCACCCCAGTATGAAGCTTATGATTAGCGTCAGCAAGGGCGAGCGATCAATGCGATTATGGAACTTGGTCACTGGCAAGAAGGCTGGAGTTTTGAACTTTAGCAAAGACATGCTGCAGGAGGCTGGCGAGGGGAAGCATTCTTCTGGAGAGGGCCGAAGAGTTGTTTGGGGAAGCGTTGACGGAGCAGATGAGTTCGCGGTGGGATTTGATCGGGATATTGTCGCATTTGGCATGGACAGTGTGCCCAAATGCAGGATTATGGGATCAATTCGAACGAAGGTGCACCAGTTCTTCTATGTTGCACTGGACAAGGAAGGGGATGCGACATTACTGGCGGTTGCTACAGAGGACGGTCGCATCCTGTTCTTCTCGACTAAGGAATCGGACCTTACACAACCGGAGTCGGAGGACAAGAAGCTCCCGACAGCCAAGTTGATGGGTCAAATCGGCGGAAAAGCCGGCGGAGTTGAGGGCCGAATCAAGGACTTTGTGGTGGTGCCGAGTGCGGAGGACGCCTCGACGCTGTACGTGGCTGGCGGGAGCAGCGACGGACGGGTCCGCGTCTGGCGGGTGGGCGTACCGGAGCTGCAAGGTAGCGACAAGGCAGAGGAGGGCAAGGGAGAGTTGTTGGGGACGTATGAGACGCAAAACAGAATCACATGCATGACGGCGTTTATGATGATACCCCGGCCAGAGGGAGTTGAGGAGAGTGAGGATGAGCTGGAAGATGAAGAGGAAGAGGAGAGTGACAGCGATGAAGAGTAAGATAGGGTGTTGAAAATGCATGTTATTGGTTGGATATTTGCGTTTGTTGTGATATACAGTAGTAGCTAGCAATCTATAAACTAATGTCAGATAGGTACTTATGGATGTGAGGAATTGGAGGTGGTGATGTGAGAGTCAGTTGTTTTATGTGCCCAGAATCACATGCAAATCGAACCAAGCATGCCATCGAACTCGCCACAGCCACTGAGTTTGCGCCAGCGTCAGACCGGTCAAGAAAGACCACCTACAGACATGATATGTGTGTAGAGTTGCAGTGCAGTATCAACAGTTGCAAACAAACGAATCGCGCCGCGGGTTTCCCTTTAGGAGTCTCGGGTCACAGCTCAGGGCCCCAGGGGATTGCTGATCTTGTACTGTAGTTAATGGATGTGCTTGAATCACGAGGGGGTCACAAATGCAAGTCAAAGCAGAATTACCTTAGTCTGACCAACCACGGAGCCTCGAATTCAAGCTTGAGGCGTTTTGAATGTGGGGTAATAGACGGGATTGGATGGAGGATGACGATCAAGAATGTCAACAACAGGCACTAGATGTTGAAGACGATATAACTATTCGATGTCTACAGTTCAATCTTTACAATAGACATGACCGTCAACAAGTTATAGAGTCTCAAGTCCATCACTATTTAACTCTGCATCATTCATCATCCATGACATCTCTACAGAACCAGGCGGGGGGACTCACCCACCTAAAAGATACAGGGGTCCAGGGCCCTCAACAGCTGCTGATATGCAGGTAAATGGGGCACATCTACGTAATTCCTGGGGCCCTTAGTCGTGAAACTGCCCGTCCCTTGGTCTTGTGAGCATGTGAAGAGCGAACCCGACAACCTCGTTCAGCTCATTCGTTTCCCTTTTCAGTTGAGGCTAACTAGTACCTTACGTGCCGTCTCTCTCTTTTCTTTTTCCTCTCTCTCACTCTCTCGCTCTCTCACTGCTCTTATTACTGCTCTCTTACTCAGGTGCTCTCTCTATTCTGGGTCTCAGGACTGGGTATCGAACAGTCCTCCTTCTGTTTCCTCTCACCCATCTCCTCATTCCTGTCTCACTCTTTCTTTGCCACTCAATCCCAGCCTCGCTACAACAGCTTCAACAACAAGATATTTGAAGCTCTTCAATTCCTCTCAGCATTTGCCGTTTATCCTCAATTGCTTGACTTGCTTCGGATATCCCGGTCCAACTAGCTTTAGGCCCTGTGCTCATTAGCTCGCGCTGTGAAAGCAAGTGGTGGACAGGGTTGCAGAGACTGGACCCCAACAGCTTCAAATTATTTTATCCGGGACAGACAATCCCTCGGAAGCTACACCAATCTTTGCTTAGGATTCATACTAAGCTGAGACTGGTCGAGACTGTGAGTATAGTAGCACTGCATTGTCCAAATATTGAGACTTGCAGGTTTCAGCCCACCTCACCTCACCTCAGCTGAACCCGAGCCTCGTTCATAAACCATTGCTGCCCTTCACCATTGCCTCGATACCAGTTCCTGACAGCCAAAACAGTCAGTTATACGAACCCTCAGCTTCAAAATGGCCGACGATGGTCCTCCTCTTATTCGTCCCGTTCCTCGAAGACCCTTCGATCTCAGTTTGACAACTCCTACACCACCAAGCGAGAACTCGTCTCCTTCAACTCCAGCGCCAGCTCCAGACCCCAATATTGCGCGCTTCCTACAACCAACTCCCGAGCCTGCGAGCGCAGGTCTTAGCAGGCCTCAGTCGTTCATGAATTTGACCTCCTCGACGCTCTTCGGAATCTACTCTCCCACAACGTCCTCTTCGCGCGACCGTGTCTTTGCCGATCGCGATGAGCTCGATACACCTTGGGGAACAGGCGCTCAGACACCCATCAAGAGACCTAGCATCGACGACGCTACGTTTGATTTTTTGAAGGATCGCTCGCACCACATTCGTCGTCGGTCCTCGATCCGAGTTCACGAACCCGCTGGACCCCTAAAGCATTCTCCATCTGGTGGTGCTCTGGTATTGAGAGGACTTTTGCTTTTCGTTCTCGGCGTGGGATATGGCGTATTAGTCACATCGCGTTTCCACGAGTCGGACAGCCTTCCGTCTCGTGCTACGTACAACTGGGGCCATTTGACTTTTTGGGGTCTTGCTGGTGTTGCACTGGGTGCGCTGTTCCCCTGGTTTGATCGAGTATGGGAGAATTCGTTCGGCGACAACGGGGATGAAGCTGTGTTAGAAAACAGTGCTTCAGCGAAAGATGACGATCCAAGCACTGACTGGGCGCTTGCTGTCCGGGCTATCGGTGCCTTTGTCGGAATTGTCTTCGCGATTGTAAGTCTCGCAACGACAAAGCAGTTGTTCCGCATAACTAACATCCTGCAGCGCAAAGTGGCCTGGGCGTCCACCCTTCAGGTGTCACTGACCTTGGCACTTGTCAATCCCCTCCTATGGTGGCTTATCGACCGCTCCAAGCCCGGTTTTCTGCTCTCAGCTGCGGTTGGACTCGCAGGGTCTATTGTGCTCCTCGGCGTGAACCCAGATATGATGCCGGCGCCTACTCAAGTTCCGTTCAGGCATTTGGTTAATGCCACAATGGCAGGTGATGGAGATATGCCCATTCTAGGTGGACTCGCCCAGCAGAAAACACTCGAGACGGGCATGTGGATGTTGAGTGTGCTTTTCTGCAGCTGTGTCTGCTTTGGAAACATCGGTCGTCGACTTACCCTCGGGCCGTCGACAACAGCCAAGGGACGCTGGGCTGGAGTGAGATGATGACGAGCGAGAAGTTGATCTGATGTGCAATCAGCTGTATTGGTCTTTTCACATTCTGTAGCATGATGTGTCTATGATATCCTTTTCGTTTGGGCGACAATCATGGGGAGGTATATTTTTGGGCGGGCTTATCGGACAATGGGAACGGGAGATATGTGTATAGTTATCGAGATTGGATAAGGGCATTTTGCAGATCATAAGGGATGATATGATGCTAAGTTTACCGATATGGTCTGTTTACGACAACAGCTATTCTGCTCTTCCAGAAGTTCTCCTGGACAAGGTAGAATAGAATGGAATAGCATGGATGGGCTAGGCTTAAATGACTTGAGGAATGATAATACCATTTCATTCCAAGATTCAATCCCCAAAGGGAAACTCACGAATCTGTCACGATGTGATGTTACTTTTTATCGTTCAAATACCTTGGCTGTAGTGTAGATCCAATCTGCTGAACCTGCCATCTCGTACTATTGAGTTGCACCGCCATTGGCCCAGCAAAGAATTGAATACCACTTGCAAACTTTTGCCTGTTCTTATTCCCTTTTCTTCTTTTACGAGTCTTGAATTGTCTCCCAATGCCAAACCAAAATATGTTCGCTCTTTACGGAGTACTCCATCATGGATCAACCCTGCAACAGCCGACGATCATCGCGTGACGCAAGCTCTACAACGTCATTCGTGTATCAGGTCCAGAGCAGATCTAGTCTGCGCTCTTGATCGCCTCCTTGACGGCAGCTGATTTTTCTTGAATAGCGGAGCCAAAGTCGACGTTGGAGAGGCCAAGCATGACGAGCATACGAGGATTTTGAATCATCTCGTTGATTGTGATGGTACGTGTGCAAACGTCGGTGTAGGAAGCGAGGGCAGCTTCAGGGCCAGAAGCGACTGCAGCAGAGAAGATTGTGTAAGCCCAGGTACACTCTCCCATCGAGGTTAGCAATAGGATAGCTTCTACTACTCACCACCTTCGTTCTTGGGGATTTGTTCAGGGTGCTGGACTTTTCGACCAGCAGCAATGTTGTCCAGCTCGGTCATGATATAATGAGATCTCTTGACGAAGTCCCAGACGTGGAAGAGGCCACGGTCAACATTTGGGGGAGTCCATTGAGCATGAGACTCGATGGCTGTGATGAGGTCCGCCAAGCGGGCGGTTATATCTTGACGTTGCTCTGCGGTAGGGAGTTGAGAGACGGTGTTAGGAGTCATGATGAGTGTGAGTATGCGATAAAGAAAAGCTAAGCTTGTAGTTTGAAGAAGATGAGAAGATTAATAAAGAAGAGGGTCGAGGGAAGAATAGACAGAAAAAGAGGAGAAAGAAAGAAAGAGAGAGAGAGAGAGAGAGAGAGCAAAAAAAACAAAACGTAGCATCAACGTCAGAAAGAGCAGCTTCCCCGCTGCATCGAGTGTCGTCTGTCCAATTGCCTCTTTACGTAGAGCAAAGCAAATACTCCATTTCCTCTCTAAAGCGTCCCTAGTACGTCAGGGGCCCCTTGTGGCTTTCTTGTATCTCTCGTCATAAGCGTTTACCGCCTGAAAGGACTGAAGTTTATGTTGTCTCAGCCATTGAACGATCGGAGTGACATTGATAATACGTTTACTCAAAACGCTTGAGCCTGAATGAGCGGGATAAGCTCTGGACTTGCACGGTTCTTGTCAGCTTGTTCGGGGACGAGAAGCTATCACGAGCAGGGGAGCTACACGAAGGGTTGAGACGGTAAGCTTATGCACAGACAGACCGTTTTCTTAGTCAAGGGAAGGGGAATGACATGTGATGTTGGAGCAAGTCAACGGAGGAAGCCGTCGATAAATAACGGAATTACCTTGGACAGAAATTAAGGTGACGTTAAAAGTATTAATCGTATTTACTAAGAGAATAATGCTCATAGGCAGAGAGGTTCGTTCTTGGGGGAGGATCAGATCAGATCAGAGAGAGCTTAGCTCAGCTATTGTGGAGAGGTTGAATTCAGGGTCCTGGAGCTCGAGGTCTGAGGTTCGACATGGGGGCTCTTGTTAGTAGTTATCAAGTTGGTAGAGAATCGACATATAGAAACAGAAAATGGTCGTGTGATGAATTGCCTTTCTTGGCAGTGATTCTTACACATGATCAGTCTTGATGATAAGTCCAGCCCAAGAAGACAAGTTGTATTGACTAAGCGGAAGAATCAATGTTCCTCGTATGGCCATGGGGTGGTCTATCAACAACGACAACAGAGCAAGTCAGTCCTGATTCGGGAACCAAGAAATCGGAGATGGTCTAGAACAATTGGAACATTTTGCGAATGCGAACCGATCTAACTAATTTCGAAGGGACAAGACTATAGTAAGCGTCATCCAAAGAAGGGTCCTGGGGTACGGTTCCCTAGCTCATGATGAGAAAAGGGACGTTCCAAAGAACAGGTACAACGAACAAGTTGACAGCCTGCTAAACTTTGATCACGTTTGGCGGCTAATCAGCCAACAGAGATGTTGGCTCTAATAATGTAATCATCGGGATGGAAATCGTTGCACACGCGTGGCATACCTAAGATAGAGAAGCACGTTTTCAACTCGTACTGTGCTGTGCTGTGCAGCCCCGGAAAGCTGGAAACGTTGTGTGACAGGCTGCAGTAGTAGTAGTAGCAGCAGCAGCATCAGCATCAGCAGCGAGAAGAGAACGAGAACTGCTGCTTATTTCGCTGTATCAGGAAATCGTTGCAAGGGAGGCTGAAAGGTTGAGGGAATGGACTGGCCGCATCTCGATCCGGGCCGCCACACCCTCGAGACTATTGGATGACAAGTGCAAGGCTTGAGAAAAACGATGATGCGTAGATTGGGCCAACGCTTTGAACTGTTGATGCCGAGAGTAGAGACCGAGATCTGATCTCAGAGCAACTCTCCCCTTTCTGGAGCCAAAAAAAAAAAAAAAAAAAAGAATTGATCTACATTTGTATTGTCAGTTANAAAAAAAAAAAAAAAAAAAGAATTGATCTACATTTGTATTGTCAGTTAGAAATGTGTGTCTCCATCAAAGATTAGTTATTCAACAAGGCAAAAAAGAGAAGGGCGAAGAGAAGAAAAAAGATCGTTGGCATCATGACCGTGGCCCCATCATGGATCCTCTACAGGACCCCCCCCAGTCTCATATGACGCCAACGACTTTCTTTTTAAGCCTCTTTCCATTCAAGTCACGACCTGACCCTAGAACCTGGACTTTAGCTCTTACTGTGCATACGCCAGCCCTGCCAGGACCTGTCTACCTAGGTACAGGTAGGTAGTGTCTAGTGTCTAGTGTCTACCTGTCTCTGTGCCCCCTCTAGCCCCTCAAGTCTCAAGTCTCCCAATTAATTCTCCCACCTTCATCTCTCTACCCAATAGCGAGGCTCTCGCTTAGACGCAAAGCTCCATCTTGTCTCGGAAACTGCCAGCCCGTTTTTATTGTTAATGGCGGGTTTCCCTCTCAACTATTAAGTAGCGTCGATGCGCCAGTTGATTCACCCGATGGCCGCTGCAACTGCAGCGTTGTCTCGATCGTCCTCGTCAGCCAGAATCTCGGAAACAAGAAACAGCCGAAAGACCCTTTTACGATAACCCCCCGACTCACAACGGACTTTGGGTGCATCCTTTCAACTGCGCGCGCGCGCTGTTACCATTCCGTTTTCCGCGGACGTTGCAAGAAGGAAAAGAGGAGATTGTCCTAGTTATCCTGTACACACACACACAAACGAGCGCAAGATCGGCGACAGATGCGAAACTGGGGTCTTCTGCCGCGGGGACAAACAAGTCTTGATCGAGTACCGTCTACAACGCTACGGTCCATCTTGTACTGAGAACCCTGCCCTGCCCTGCCCTGTATTCAATGCTTCTTGTGGTTTCCTGCATCGCGATCTGTGATACTGGTCTCTATGATAATTGGTCATGCTTGCGCTTCTGGAGGGAGGGCAACTTTTCGGTTACGCTGTGAAGAAGGGCAAAGTTCCCTCAGCTCAGTCAAGAGTTGAGCCCCCTCCCGTCCCCATCGCAAATCTTGGATCTTGGATCTTGGATCTGAACGGTTTCCTTGGCCCCATTGAGCTGGGATGTGTTTTATTTTAGGTTCATCCTCGCATGCATCCCTGGATTCCCTGGTTTACAGCCCAGCGCACCACAACACAACACAACACTGCACTGCACTGCATAACATAGCACAACAAAAGCAGGGAATTAATTAACAAGCTCCCGATTGTCGAGATGAGTGAGGGGGTTTAGGTTCCGGTTGCCGCAGCAAAACGGCGACCAAAGTCTATCTGTCCGGTGCTCGAAATGGATTACCATTCGATGTTGGGCAGTGCAGTTGGTGTTTTTGCCCCGAATACTCCAAGATAGTTACTGCTATTGGCTTAGGTTTGAGGTTTTCGCCTCGGCGTCATGAGTCCCAGTCCATGACCGACCCCGGCCTGCCATCGTCATCCGTTTTGCCTTGTAAGACAGAAGTTGATGCTGCTGTTGTGTGACTCGAGAGCTCCAGGGTACGAGTTCCTATGACCATATCACTGGCTTCATTCCTGTGTGTCTACTCCGTAGGTGTAGGTGTCCTTCAATCAATCACCTGAGCACAGTATTCCATGACCGTTTGAACCCTGAGATGAGTTTAGACTGGAGGAGGCGTCTAAAACTCGTGATACACGCAGGGTCCTCTCAAGTTTTCTAGGGGACCCTCTTTCTGTCCAGCAGAGGCCACTAGGTGCTTGCTAGGAACTGCCTAGTGCTAAAGTTGGAAAAATCTACAACATTTCCCAGTTGTCTACCCTGCTCCGAGGTACTGTATACATGCCAGAGACTAGGGCCTCTCCACCAGGTTTCTTGATATATTTTGTATAGAGACAAGACAAGTAACAACCACTTCTCTGTTCCCTTCCCTTTGATCTGATTTGGCTTGGCTTGGCTTCGTTTGGCTTGGTTTAGTCTTAGTCTCGACTCGCCTCGTTTTGTCTCTAGGTGCTTCCATGTATGTATTCCTCATCTTGTAATGAAACTGTGAC